TCTCGGCGCTTGTTTGAGGCCGTAGAGACTCTTCTTCAATCTGCAGACTAAGTTTTCTTTCCCTTTGACTTCAAAACCTTCTAGCTGCTCCATGTAAATTTCTTTCTTCAGATCACCATGGAGAAATGTCGTTTTCACACCCATCTGTTCAAGTTCCAAATTCAAACTGGCCGCTAGTCCCAAAACTACTCCCAAAACTACTCAAATGGATGTCATTTTCACAACTAGCGAGAAGATTTCATCAAAATCAATACCTTTCTTTTGTCCAAAACCTTTGACAACCAATCGAGCCTTATACTTGACTAGCTTTCCGCTGCCATCTTTCTTCAACTTGAACACCCATTTGTTCTGCAATGCTTTTCGACCCTGGGAAAGTTTCACCAAATCATAAGTTTGATTTTTCTGTAAGGACTGCATCTCTTCTTGCATAGCTTGCTGCCAACTATTCTTCTCCTTATGATTCTGAGCTTCTTGAAAACTTTCTGGCTCCCCCCATCAGTGAGCAAAATATACTCAGAAGTAGGGTATTTGGATGACGGCTTAGACTCTCTTGTTGATCTTCGTAACTGTGGACCAACAGTCTCTGGTGGAGGGGGTTATGGCTCTCCCTGCTCAACACCCTCTGCTTCTAGATCTTCTTCTTCTGGAAATCCATCCTGTAACTCTACATCATTGACTGCATGCTGTGGTAGCTCTTCCTCATCAGTGGCATGCTATGGTGGTGTAGGATTGGGAATAATTTCTGAAACATCATCAACTTTGGGTTTGGCTGGTTGCCCAAAGTCTTCTAAGGTCTAGCCTTCTTGAAACACCACATCTCGGCTTCGAATGACCTTCTTATTTTTCGGATCCCACAATCTGTATCCAAATTCTTCATCTCCATAGCCAATAAAGATGCATGGAGTGGCTTTGTCATCCAGCTTCTCTCTGTGCTCTTTGGATACATGTGCAAATGCTTTACACCCAAGCACTCTTAAGTGAGAGTAAGAAATCTCCCTTCCAAACCATACTTCTTCTAGAATCTAAAAATTCAGTGGAACAGATGGTGATCTGTTGATCAAATAACAAGCAACACGAACAACTTCTCCCCAAAAAGGCTTTGGTAGCTTTGTCATTTTGAGCATACATCTGAGCTTCTCTACAATGGTCTGGTTCATTCTCTCAGCTACACCATTGTGTTGTGGGGTTCCAGGAACAGTCTTCTCATGCCGAATACCGCAAGTAACACAGTAAGCTTCAAACTCCTTTGACGTGTACTCGCCTCTATTGTTTGTTCAAAGACTTTTCAACTTCTTTCTGGTCTCCCTTTCCACCATGGCATGGAATGCTTGAAAATGCTGGAATACCTCAGTTTTGGTCTTTAGGACATAAACCCATACTTTCCATGATGCATCATCAATAAACGTCAAGAAGTATTTTCTGCCACCCAAAGATTCCACTTCTATGGGACCTCAAACATCAGAGTATACTCTGCTCAGCAACTCTGATTGTTTTCTAGATGATGAATGGAAAGCGACTCTATGATGCTTCCCAAATAAGTAGTTGTCACAAGGATTCAATTTCGCATCTTTGGCAAAAGAAATAAACGACTTCTTTGCCAAAATCTGTAACCCTTTCTCACTCATGTGACCCAGCCTTTTGTGCCACAAATTTGGCGTCGCCTCATCTTCTATTGCACTGAGGCTGTCTGAACTCAGCTCCACACGAGTCTTGTACAGTGTGCCAATTGCCTATCCTTTGGCTACCACCAGAGATCTTTTTTTCAACTTCCATATGCCTTTGCCGAAGTAGTTCTCATAGCTTTGTCGATCTAAGGCTATTCCTAAGATAAGATTCAGGCGTAAATCGGGAACATGCCTGACATCTTTCAACACCATCGTGCACCCAACTTTGGTTTGGATGCAAAACATCTCCGATTCCCACAATCTTCAAAAAACTAGAGTTACCATCTTCACTGTACCAAAATCTCCAGCTTGGTACGTATTAAAGAACTCCTTCTAGGATGTAGCATGGTAGGAAGCTGCTGTATCTACCACCCACTCGGTGTCGTTGTCTGACATATGAAGACATTCTTCTTCTTCAATAGAGAATAATGTAATATCCTCTGAGACAGTAATTGCAGTGTTCCCATCTTCGGTCTTTGGCTGTCTATTTCCTTGTTTTTGTTCTCCCTTCAAGGCATATCAATACTTTTTTATGTGACCCTCTTGGCCACAATGGTAACATTTGAACCTTGGCCGACTCGTACCTTCTCTAGATTTCCCTTTGTCTTGAGATCTTCCTCTGCTGTGTCCTCTACTTTTGCTTCTTCCCCTGCCTTTGCTTCTACTTTTATTTTCTGTGACGAGGGCATGGGATTGATCTCCACCCATCTCTTTCTTTCTTGCCTCTTCACTAAATAAAGCATATGTAACCATGCTCATGGTCAGTTTCCCTTCTGAGGCAGAGTTACTGAGGGACACCACCAACGTCTCCCAACTGTCTGGCAAAGAATTGAGCAGTAATAGGGCCTGCATCTCATCATCTAACTCCATGTTGACAGTTGCCAATTGGTTCACCAGATTTTGAAACTCACTGGTGTGTTCAGCAACAGAGATACCGCCTTTCAACTTCAAACTCACAAGTCTTCTCATAAGAAGGGCTTTGTTCCGAGTAGTCTTCGACTAGTACATGCCTTCTAACTTCGTCCAAAGAGCATAGGCATTAGTCTCTTGGGCGACATGGTGGAAGACACTGTGATTGATCCATTGTCTGATCTGGCCAATGTTCTTTCGATTCTTCCGCTTCCAGTCTTCATCTTTTTTCGTTGCTGGTTTAGCTCCATTAAGCTCAATGGGGTCAAACAAATCTCGGCAATATAGGGCATCCTCCATTATGGGCTTCTAAATGCATAATTGGAAGTATTAAACTTTATTATGGAACCTGAAGTCGACGTTGATTCCTCCATCATGCAAAAAGTGATCTCTATTTGAAAAACAAGCTTTATTGTTGAGTCCGGACTGGTCAAATTAGCCGGAAAAGCACTTCGGATTGCCAAAAGAAAGACTGTAAATTTTAAAAGCTGATTTGTAAAATCTGACCGTACAGATGTGTCCAAAATATTTCAAATAGTTAGAAAGCACTATTGGATCACCCAAATCGGACTTCAAATGGCTTAGATCAAGCCAAAACAGATTGAATGGTTCAGATCGGCAAAATCTGGTGCGGCTGAGAAGCACCATATTATTTCTCCGGTTCAACTGGCGTTAAGCTGACGTCAGCGGCTCAGTCAACGACTCGATCAGCGACTTTGGTTTTGGCCCAGCTCGGCTTAGCTCGACTTGGTCAGCGACTTGACGGCTTGATCAACAGCTCAGAGGCTTGGCTCATGGCAGCTCAGGCAACGTCAACTGCCGTCGTTATGACGTTAGCAAATGGCGGTGGATGACGTCAGCGCCTGGATGAACGGAGAAGACACGTGCAGCGCGTGGTAGCGCATCATAGCACGTAATCACGGCATCACAAGGCGCGTGAGGACTCCTCTGGTGGCCGTTTGCGACGCGATTTTCACTGTTGTGCTCTTCTGGTCGAGACCTTCAAGATGATGTGATCAAAAGTGGATTTCGACCACTTTGATTTCTGGGCAAGTTTTGAAAACACGCTCTGGTTTTTCAAAAACGCACAAAATTGAGCTCTGATACCACTTTGTTAGGATCAAACACACCTAGAAAATTATCTCACACACACATAGAACACAATATTTACGTGGTTCAGCCCAATGCCTACATCCACGGAGCAGAAAAGAGAATTTCACTAAAATGGAGCAAAATACAAATACAGAGGAGGAGATAAAAATTCTCACGCAACTCACAGCTCTCTCTCTCTATTTTCTTATATATAATTCATCATCTCCCTCTCATCTCTATTTATACACAAAGAGAGGGGAGAGAGATACCAACCCACCAAAAATGTCTACCCTCTTTAATGGTGAATGGTGAAAATCAACAAAGACAACAACGGGAAGAGAAGGGAGAGCTGATCTTCCAAATGCCCAGCTCAGCCTTCCTTCTCTAGAGGTGGAAGTCTTCTCATGCCATCTTCTTTGACTCTCTCATTTGTATGCATGGGGTTGGAACTAACAAGTACTACACTTGTATTCTGGTAAATACTGCGTGCAGGCCATCAACTATGACATTTACATCAACTATAAAACTTACGTCAGCGGCAGCATCATCCTGGTGGATGTGGGGATACAGAGGAATCAACATTTGTTAATAAAGTAAACAAAATAAACAAAAAAATCAACACTTTTTAACAAATTAAACAAGGGTGCTGTTATGGTGTGCAACCCCTTAAGGTTGCACACCATATGCAACCAACACAAAGGGTGTAAATGGAAGGTGTAAACATAAAATAGGACAGCAAACAGAAAGACGTAAGTGTAAGGTGTAAGTTGCACACTTAAGAAAAGTCCATTAAACAAAATACGAAGTAATCAACATTCTTCAACAAAGTAGACCAAAAAAAATAGAGTAATTAACCAATTTCAACAAAGTCCCAAAAAAATAGTAATTAGCCTTACTTTAAGAAAACCAGTAATTAAAGTTTTAAGAAAACCTATGTATTTATGTTAAAAATGTAGAATCAACTGTATGTTTTCTAATCCTTAAGAAATGTGAGTGTCATTTGCCCTTACATCATTGGTTTGGTTATAAAGAAAATGTTATTAATCTCAAATAATCTATCAAATTTTTTACCAAGCTTCTCACATGGGTGTGAGATTCACACAAATTTAAATGTGTGTGATCTCACACCCATGTGAGAGATTTGGTAAAAAATTTAATATATTATTTGAGATACTTAGTATAACTCTTGATTATAATGTCAATTAGTTGGGAGGGTGTAAAGGAATCTGAATCCGCTACCGTGAAAACCTGCTATACTTCCTGCAGTGATTCCAAAACGATGTTAGGTGTAGAGTGGCATGAGAAATATATGGTTTTGTTTTCTTGTCAAACACCCCCCCCCCCCCCTCTGTCCTCTCTCCTCTCTCTGTCTCTCTCTCCATCATGTTTAGGGGAATGTTCCTCTTCGCTGCTAGTTACATAGCCCTTCTTGTTTTTCATGTTCATTTTTTGTTTTATGTGAATTGCGATACTAATAATCAAAATCAGCAGCAGCAACTCCTCCACAAGAATTCTTGCGGTGACGTCCATAACATCAGTTTCCCGTTTCGACTCAAATCCGACCCACTTGATAATTGTGGAGACAAGAATTTCGAGCTTGAGTGCCAGAACAATCGGACATTACTATACTTGTATTCTGGTAAATACTACGTCCAGGCGATCAACTACAGCCGTCAAGTTATCAGCGTGGTGGATGTGGGGATACAGAGGAATAGTTGCTCCTCTCTTCCTCTTCATTCTTTATCTCCTCACAACTTTTCTCATAAAGTTTATCCGTATGATGCTTATTTGAATGAATTTGCAGCGTTCGTGAGTTGTGAAAAACCAGTGAAATCTCCTCTCTACATAGACACTAGTAGCAAGATTAGTACTGCTGCTTCCTGTGAAATCAAAGGAGAAGGGGTCAGTTCGTCATCGGCGAAAAAGCATTCATATGTTCTGGTCGGAAGCTACTATTCTCTTAATTGGTCAGATGTTGAAGACTTGTGCAGCGTCGACATGGTTTTTCCGACGAGGAGACGTAACATTACGAGCTTGTTGGAGGTCCACAACGCATTGGCTGATGGATTTGATCTTTCCTGGGGTTTCTACGACTACAAACAATGCATACGTCAGGCCCATTGCTTCTCTAATTATGATCAAAATGCCACCGTCGGCGCTTGCAGTGGTCGTCCATACGGAATTTGGGCGGTCCTAGGTGCGTCCGTCCAAATCACCCTTTTTTAAATTTATTTTTAATCTTATTTTTTAAGAAAATTTTATCAAAAACCCATCATAATAAAACTTTCATGCATCAACAAGCACAAAAAAAAATCCTGAATAACTAATTTAATACTTTATTCGTCTCAAAATAATAGTCATTTTTAAAGAATTTATTTTTTTAGTAATACAATTATTACACATTAAGAATGTTAATTTTTTAAAATTACCCTTTAATAGTATATTTTTTTGAAAATATCAATTATCATAATTGTATTTTTTGTGTTGTTAATGAATTTTAAAAAGGGGCAAAATAAAAAATTCATATTATTTTAAACTTCGATTTTTGAAAAAAAAAATAGTATTTTGAGATAATAAAAAATATAATAAGAGACTAATATTTTAACACTGAATGAGTATTTTAAATTTTAAAATGATATAACTTTAAATTTATGTGTCTGTTTTTAATAAATTTGATGTTTTTATAATTTTCTCGTTAAGATCTATTAAATAAGATTCATATTGGTTATGAAATTCTTTTTAAAAGAAAATCAAAATTTTGAACATTGAAATTAACGTCGACAATATAATTTTACTCTAATTCACAGTAAATTTTACTGTGAATTTTTAGTATTTAAATAGTGAAATACCATCATAATCACTATAATTGTTACTGTCACAAGTAGAAATATTGAATAAAAATTTTATTAAAACAATAAAATGATAATGTTAATAGAGTTTTTGCTGTTAATTTAAAACAGAGTCAACCAACAAAAGTCAGATTACATACTGTCATAGCAAACTAGAGTAAAATTTCACTATCATTAAAATAGAGCATAGCAGCCAATAAAACACAAGCCACATATTATTAAAGCAAACAAAAGTAAATTTAATATAACAACAAACAAAAACATCGTTGTTCAATCAGGTTTAATAAAAAATAATCATAACAAACGAAATACACATTATTCAATCTTCATTCTTACCAAAAAAAAAAAAAAACTTTCAGCAATCTATTCACTTTTTTATTCAAAGAAACAAACGATATACACATCTCTTTTATGGCTCAATCGTAAGTTTCGATCTAAATAATTATCGAAATACAACAAATAAAGTTCGAAATACAACAATTATTAAAGTTCTATGGCTCGATTGTGGAACTATCTCTTGCTATCTAATAGGATATTTTAACTTGAACTATTGAAGACAATAAATATATATATATATATATATGGAGAGAGAGAGAGAGAAAGTGTGTGTGTGTGTGTGTGTGTTTATATGGTTAAAATAGGAAGTGAGAAGTAATGAAAGATAAAAGGACAACGTTGTATAAAATAAAAAGACATATTTTTTGGGTGATTCTATTTGCATACTACTATTATTCTCAGTACATACTATTTACTAAGTTCACACCATACACAAATTGAATATGTTGATTTTGTCTCAATACACACCAATAATTTTCATATAATATCATATTACCCTCATCCCCTTCATCTCCCTCAACAAACCCTAACCCTAACACTTGCCCACTGGCCGCCACTCTACCCCCTCCTCCCTCGGTGCCCCTACTCAACCCCCTCTAGTCACTATCGTTGCCTCACTACTATCTCAACACCTTCATCGCCACTACCTCACCACCATCGCAACCATCCATTACCGCGACGCACAACCGCTAGAACCCTACCCCGTTGTCACCTCCTAGCACCACTAATATTGTCTTCTCCTTTTCTTCAACAAATATTTCTCTCTAGGGTGCGCGTGATCGGTCGCCGATCGGAGGTGAGTTGCGATAATGGTGGGTCATTAGAGTTTGAAATTGCGATGATGGTAGGTTGTCGGAGATAGTGGTTGTAGGGTGGTGGAGGTAAGGATGTGGTTGGGAAGACGGCAACAGCTATAGCAACGGAGTTGAGAAGAGAGAGAACCAGTGTCGTAGCGATGAAGCTAAGTAGGGAAGAGGACCAGTGGCTAATGTTGATGGTGCCGGTGGCTGGAGTTGATGGTGGTGGTGTTTGGTGTGTGTTGAGGGGATTTAGGGTTTTGTCCTAACAGGTAATTTCATTGAGGGGCACAATGGTAATAAAAAAAATATAAAATAATAGTGTGAACTGAGAGTAAAAACGATGTGTAAATAGAATTTCCTATATCTTTTATGTCCTTAATCCATAATAAATAAATGCATTTCACTACCTCCACACAAAATTTGCCCCTCTAACTAGCCCGACTAACGTGGCTTCAATGTGAAAAAACAAAATTCCAGTTGCCCAAAGTGTGTGGAATCACGTTTCCAAACGAAACCCCCTTCTCTCTTTCTCTCACTCTCTTCTTCCCATTCTTCCTCTTCTTTTTTCTTCTCCTTCTTCCTTTCTTGTTGATGCTCGCCTCCATCACCGCCCTTTGATTTAAGGAAGAAAAAAAAAAAGAACGGAAAGGGTGATTAGAGAACCGACCTCCACATCCTCTCCGACACTTCCTTGCCGACCATTGTCACGCCTCCACAGTCACCAATCATCGATACAGTCTTCCTTCTTCATCCAAACCACACCGTCAGCCATGCCCAACCAAGGCCACGCCCCAGATCGCCGCCCAAAACTCTTTACCTACCTAGATCCGTAGTCAATCATCACCTTGAACCTATTGAGTTTAACACAATGGTGAACCCAGAAATATAACCTTTATTGATAACACTCTAGTACACAAAACACTTATACCCAATCACACACTAATATACTTCACTTATTCACTCACGCATACATTCAAGCACTCACACTTTGTGTCTTTCTCACACAAGACCTGGAGATACCTCACACTAGATCACTCTTGTAATGCTTGACCACTCACTTTAGACTCATTCTTCTTTCACTCAATTTTCCAATTGTCCAATACCTAGTACATCCACTCATCTCATATTTATACTAGTTGAAGAACATTCTAGAATACACGCGTACTCTAGAGCTATTTAAACTGCTCTAGTATATAATAGAGTTTCTATACTTCTTTAAAATATTCTAGAACCTTCCAGAACTTTCTAAATTTCTGTAGATTTCTCCGAACTTCTCTAATGTTTCGAAATCTTCTATGATATTCTAGAATCTTTCAAAATTCTTTAGGTCTTTCTAGAGTCTTCTAAATCATTCTGGAATCTTCAAGATTCATGTGAAAACTTCTAGAATATTCCATAGAGAAGATTCTAGAGAGTGAAGAGAGTTAGTGATAATTCTCAACACTCCCCCCTCAGTACTAACTCTTATTTTTGGATTATGTAACCATGCAACGTTGTTTCAGGAACTCTTCACGAGTATATCTGCAACATGGTCCTTTGCCACGATAAACTTGTCTCAATCTCTTCCAATATTGACTTCTCTCTTTTGAAGTGATATAGTCTTTCATGGAACACCACGTCCTTGGTCAACTATAGGATTCTCATCCTCTAATTTGGATAGTGAATGCCACATTTGAATCTGTGTTGATGCATCAACATACCTTAGATTGGGTTGACATTGCCTTCCAGATATTGGTTACTACAACTTTATCACTTCTTCTTCTTCTTAGGTTTGCTCTCCCAACTTCTCTGATAGGTGAGCTTCTGGATCTTTAACTTCTGAAGATTGAGACTCACCTACAAGAACTAACTCATTTGTGATAGAGTATGCATCCACTTTCTTGATAATTGCATTGCACTGCTCGTATATGGCTTTATCAAAATCTATGTCCTCTTGTGAATCTGTTTCAGTGACAACAAACATTGTAGAAGATGCTTTAAAATCTCATTCTTCTTCAAATTTTGGCTCTTCTTCTAAGTATCCTAGTTTCACGGTCTCGAACATTGCACGTGAAACTTGGAAATCCCATTATTCTTCGCTATTATCTTGGTAACCGTTGGTTGTTACCATATTACCTTCGATTGGTCTTTTTCTTAGCCCACAGTCTTTGGCATAGTGGCCAATCTTGCCACAGTTGAAGCACTCTATGTTGTGTTGTCTAAATCCAGCAGCTCTTCAATCATTTTCGTCATGTCGAACTCCCCTTCGTTGATAGCTTCGATCATCATGTGATTGTTCATCTTCTTCTTTATTCAATCTTGCATATTTTTGCCACTTCAGTCCATTTCTTCTCTTATTACTGAATAGCGCCTCTTCTTCACATTCATTCTTCAGTGTGACTCCAGCCATTTACTTTGCTAGAGTTTCTTGATTCGCCAATAGACTTTCCAACTCAAACAATTATGGCTGAGTGGACTATCCTCTAATGGCAGCCATAAGCCCACTCTACTCGGGTCTTAAACCTCAAGTAATAATGCACCTCATTTTGGACTCGCTAATTTTTTACTCAGGATCAAGTTGTGAAATTTCATTGCAAATTGTCTTTACCTTGAGAAAATATTGGATAATAGTCATTTATCCTTGTGTCACCATTGCAAGCTTGTTCTCCGGCTACTAAAGTCGTGCATTGTTTGTCTTCGAAAATAACACCGCAAATGTATCCCAGACTGCTTTTAAAGTAGTAGCCTCCCGAACATACTCCAATAACTCTTTCTGAATAGTTGTCCTTAACACGAACATCGCTTTTCCAGCCTTGATCCGCCATTTTCGCAGCGCATCTGCATTTTCTTCTAGGTGACACAGTTTCCTTGCCGTCAACAATCTCCCATAGATTTTGTCCTTGAAGCTATGCCTCGATACATGTTCGCCAATAATCATAATTATAATAATTTAATTTCTCCATACCTCCGATGAAGTTTCCGAAATTCGCCATAACAACTATGCTCGTTGACTTCAACAATCTCTTATATCAATCTCAAACACTCTTTGTGTTGGTCCTTGAACGACCAAGCTCTGATACCAAATTGTTGAGTTTGACACACTAGTGAACCCAGAAATACAACATTTATTGATAACACTCTAGTACACAAAACACTTGTACACAATCACACACTAATATACTTCACTTATCCATTCACGCATACATTCAAGCACTTACACTTTGTGTCTTCCTTACACAAGACCTTAAGATACCTCACACTAGATCAGTCTTGTAGT